CTATAAGAGCTGGGATTAAGTGCTTAAAACTCCAACAGAACACTGCCGCATCAGCAGGCACACGCAGCGCCTCACAAGATCACCTGTCACCAAGAAAATGCATTTCCTCAGGCCTGGCCCAAGAACCCGACGCAAAGTTCTCGATCCATCTTGATACGGCCCAGTCGTGTGACGGAGATCTGGTCAGAGCGTTGGCCTCCCTGAGAGCCATGAATTTAGTTGCCGGCTCTTGTTCTTTTTCTCCTTGGCGGTCCTGCCAGAGATGCACAGGGGTAGGTGTTGGATCCGCCTCATCCTGTACTCCCATCTGCTTTCTGGGCTTGTGGGGAGGGGTGGAGTGTCTCCACCAGGCCCTGGCTTTTCGGGGGCTTCACTCCATCATCACTCCCTCTAGGCCACGTTCTCTGGCAAACTATGGAACTCATAAGCCATTCGTTTCCTTTATGTCTTCAGCATCTCAGTGACAAGCTTTTAGTGCCCATTATTAATGTTTCATGAGAGCAGAAATCTCACACTGCGTATGTTCAGTGAAGTGTGTCTTGGGCATTCCCCAAGGAAGAGCTGCCCCTCCCAATCAGAATCGCGACTTAGAACGTAAAACCTCTCTGGAAGCTGATGTTTCAAAGATAAATGTGTTAAGGATTGGGAGGGGCTGTTTTTGCTTTTGCTTTTATGTTCTAAATAGGTCATTCATTTCTGAAGCTGATTTTTAAGAAGATCATGAAGTATAATGGTTTAGTGGACCAAATTACTAACAACTAGAAGATTTGCAGATGACAAATCTCTGTGCAAGGGAGAATGGTTGCTCTTGTTGCTCCTAATGTTAGCATTTTCCTAACTTTTCACTCCTGTAACTGGGCGATTAGAGATGCATCAGTGGTTCAGTAAATATCTTGAACTATGCTTGAAGAGTTTTAGTGTCAAACAGAGGATGTTTTGCCAAATCCTTCTTCTCTTAATTTTTAAATGTATATTTCAAGGGAACTTTGATTCATGTGTTTCAGATTCATTTACACTTGAATCATGAAAATGCTATTTTGTAAGTGCTATTTGATGTCCAAGAAGCCTTCTGAACCTGTTTTATAAGTCCTGTTTAGGCTTTTTCTTAAAACAGGAAGTTGCATCTTGCCAAGTATAAATAAACTCAAACATTAAAAACATCCAAGTCAAGGATCCAACTCTCAACTCAGGTTTCAGACATTCTCAGCTTGGCAACATGCAGCCCCCATCCCTGCATGGTTAGGAGGGAAGGCGGTCGGAATGAAAGCCTGTAAAGGGGTTCCCAAGTATTGCAGGTCGCAGGTGTTTTTCTGGTTATGAAAAATCATAAAACCTGTGTAGCAGGTGTCCTAGAAACCATTACATGCAGCGGTGAATTGGAAACACAAAGGCCTATCTACATTTCATTCCCTGAGATGCATCTAAATATGTTTACTAATTTTTTTACAGGAAAAAAAGCCTAACGGTTTTAACTTCACTTATACTGGCTTTATCTTTGACTCCCTTGAGTGCCACTGAATTTAGGAAATGTGGGACAGGCGGCGCGTTTATGCTAAGAGCAGCTTTTGCCCGCCCCGCTCTGGGTGACGTAGTTTATCAGTCCAACAACGCGACCGACACCCTGCGCTTGGGATTGGAAAATGCAGAAAAGCATCTCTGGCTCACACTAGCACATCTTTTAGTTCTGTTGTACCCTTCTTACATTGAGGCAAAGGCGACCGGCTGGTCCTGGAGTCCTCTTCTGGCTGGCTGGCTTGTGTCTATAGAGGATGAGGCTTGTGAGAGGGCTCATGGACCGTTTCAAACAATTTTCTCGTGCTTTGCGTTGTTGAGTCCATTCAAGTTCTCCTGTGTGAGCAAGCAAGCGACGGCAGGGATGACAGGCGTGACGCAGAAGAAAATGCTGACTTAGCCGACATTCCTGCGTCATCGAATCCAGTGACATCCGCTGGCTGTGTCCCACCTGCCAAGCGAGGGGAAGTGGCATCTGTGGAGAGAGGCCTCGCGGCGTCTCCTCAGGCGGACACTTTAAGGAAGCAAACCAAATCTTAGGCTGCAGTCAGTTCGAAGGTTGTCAAATGGAAGACAGCAAAAACTAAGGAATAGGCAGATAGCCCTAAAATTTGCAAACCTGAAATGTAAATCCATACTTAGAACACATGGTCCAAAACTGAGACGATGTCAGAAACTGAAATTTAGTTTAATGTTGCTGGTTATGGTTTGATACTCATTCCTGCTTTGTGATTCACCACATAGATGTACAAGTCGTGGTTTCTTATTTCTCACAGCCAATGAGCTAGCAGCCATATAACATGTCCGTGTTTTATTTGTTAATGGATTATTTATTTATTTATTTATTTATTTATTTGGCGGAACTGGGGATTGAACTCAGGCCCTTGCACTTGCCAGG